AATACTTGTATTTATTATATTTTATATGATGCAAATAAATGGATCCCAAACACAATACATGATAATCCAATTAAATTAGACAAAATATATGTTAAGAAAATTTTAATCTTTTTCTGCAATTGCTGTAAGATGCTTATCAATTTCAGTTTCTGTCAATTTCCTGAATTTGGGTTGATCCTTAGTAACTACCCCCACTTCAAGCTCACTAGGTTTGAAATCAACAGACAAAACTGTTGATAGACAGCTTATTGCTAGTTGAATGGCATCATCCTGTTTAAGTTCCTGCTTTTTTTTTAATTTTTTTTCCAAATAACTATTGGCCTCAGTTTGCTTTGCTCCTACACTGACACCTCTATAGCCACAATAGTATCCAGCTGGGTCAGTTTTATACACACAAGGGCCTTTCTCAGAATCATATCCAATTAAAATCATAGAGCATCCCAATGGACGCATTTCAGCATTCTGAGTGTATACTTGAGAAATATCAGCTATTCTTCTGCATAATGTGTCTACTGGCATTTCATATCCAAATTTGTACTTATATTGGGCAGCTTCATAACGGGCCCTTTGTACTTGGGACTTGCTGTCTGCTATCATCCCCGTCATTACACATCCTGCAGATTCGGTAATTTGGAACAAATGAGTAATAGTATTACCATCTATCAGCTTATCAGGTATCTTTCTTTGAGTTACACAAACCGCTGTATCAATCCCTTTGACGGCAACAGAAGTTAAACCAGCTTGATTAATGGCTTTAAAAGCATATTCCACTTGGTACAGTCGACCTTCTGGTGAAAAAATTGTAATATGACGATCAAAACCAGCACTACTGCCCCTAGCCATTTTCTTTTAGGCAACAAATACAAATCTTGCTTATAGAATGATTCTTCCCAAATGCTTGGAGCATGAAATAGGTTAGATCGCAATGATTTGTATTTTTAAACTGACACCTGTCATAATTAATAGTGGCTAAATTATCATTTACCTGCAGTAGATAAGTAACATCCTCCGAGGTTTTTAAAACTTTTTTAATACTTTACAAGTCATTATAATAAAACTGCTTATACATTCTTAATTACTTTAAACTAACAACTAACAGGTCGATTTCTTTTTATATACAGTTGGCCCCAACATATCTTCGGCTTTAACCCAGTTATTAAAATCCGACTCGGCAATTCCGGAAGCTTTTGCGGATTCCTTTAAAGTTGTTTTCTCACGGTGAGCCCTTAGAGCAATTTGAGCTGCTTTGTCATAACCGATATGAGGACTTAAAGCAGTAACCAACATTAAACTTTGACTAAGCAGAAACGCCACACGTTCTTTATCAGTTTCCATTCCATTTACGCAATTCAGAGCAAAACAATAGCAACCATCAGAGAGCAGTTTAATAGACCGTAAAACATTTGAAACCATCAAGGGTCTAAAAACGTTTAATTCAAAATGACCATTCGATCCGCCTATTGTAACAGCAACGTTGTTACCCATTACTTGAGCTGCGATCATTGTGAGCGCTTCACATTGGGTCGGATTAACTTTGCCGGGCATTATAGAACTTCCTGGCTCGTTTTCTGGAAGTATTAGCTCTCCTATTCCACATCGGGGACCAGAAGCTAAAAATCTAATGTCATTGGCTATTTTCATTAAAGAAGCTGCAATGACATTTAAAGCTCCAGAGACTTCGATCATAGTGTCACTTGCAGCTAGCGCTTCAAATTTATTAGGGGCGATTACAAAAGGAAGTCCTGTTAATTCAGCAATTTTTTTTGTGCATTTTTCATCAAAAGATACATACGTGTTAAGGCCGGTTCCAACAGCGGTTCCACCAATTGCGAGCTCGTATAAACGAGGCAAAGTATTTTGTATTCGATTTATTCCATACTCCAATTGCTTAACGTATCCACTCAGCTCTTGTCCCAAGGTCAAAGGAACAGCATCCTGAGTATGAGTACGTCCAACCTTTATAACAGACATAAACTTTTGGCTTTTCTCCTGTAAGCTGTTTTTTAATTTTTTTAAGTTCGGTAGAAGACTATGATTCAACTCGTGAGCAACTGCAATGTGCATAGCGGTTGGAAATGTATCATTACTGCTTTGACCTTTATTAACATGATCATTGGGGTGAACAGGGTTCTTCGAGCCTAACTTTCCACCCAATATTTCAATTGCACGATTACCTATCACTTCGTTTACGTTCATATTCGTTTGAGTGCCGGAGCCAGTTTGCCAAATTCCAAGAGGGAAATGTTCACAATAAAGGTTTCCAGAAATAACATCGTCAGCAGTTTTTGAAATGGCAGATGCGATTTTCCGATCCAGACCAAAATCTACGTTCACCTCTGCTGCAGCCTTTTTCAATACACCCATAGCTACAATAACACTAAAGGGCATTCTTTCAAATTCGTCCCCTATAGGAAAATTCTTCAGACAACGTGCTGTTTGAGCTCCATACAATTTGCCATTTGGAACTTCTATTTCACCAAGGGCATCATATTCCACTCTAACGCTTTCCATATTGAACATTACTTAACAACACAATTGCCTAATTAACACGTTTACAATTATTATATGTATCAGTTGAATGGAATATCAAATTTGACATTAATATATATTCCATTTGTTGCTGGATTTAATAGTAATATACGTATAGTAAATATCAAAAATCAAAGTTTGTATTGTACGGCGGTCTTTAATTTTCCGAAAGAAGCTTAGATAAATTATAAAAATACATTTATACATTTTTTTCTATTTTAAAGTAAATTACTGGCTGTAGAGTTGCTATAAATTAGGTGACTATATTTTTACTTGAAATTAAGAACCACATTTTCGATATATCTAGCGAGAATTTATGCATGAACCTCCTTTGGGCTTGTAAGGTTGTGGTTGAATCATTAGCTCTGGTTTAACCCACTCATCAAATTGCTGCTTTGAGATTCCCATTTTCTCTGCTGCTTCCCTTAATGTCAATCCTTCATGATGGGCATATAAAGCAATTTTTGATGATCGATCGTATCCTATATGCGGGTTCAATGCAGTAACTAGCATCAAGCAATTCGTTAAATGTTTTTCGATAGTTGGAATATTCGCTTTAATACCATCAATACAAAACTTTGCAGTACACAAGCAGCTGTCTCCCAATAGCCTTACGGACTGTAATACGTTGGAAACGATCATGATTCTAAAGACATTTAATTCAAAGTGGCCATTTGAGCATGCTATTGTAATGGCAACATGATTTCCCATTACTTGGGCGCAAACAGCTCCCATTGAATCACAATGAGTGGGATTTATCTTCCCGGGCATTATGGAACTTCCCGGTTCGTTTTCTGGAAGAGATATTTCGCCAATGCCACATCGAGGTCCTGATGACATAAACCTAATATCGTTCGAAATCTTTGTAAGCGATGTTGCTACATGATTAAGAACCCCTGAAATCAAAACCATACAATCCGAAGCAGCCGTAGCTTCGAATTTGTTAGGAGTGACTTGGAATGGTAATCCGGTAAATTCTGCTATTTTAGCTACACATTTCTTGTCGAAATTTTGATACTGATTAATACCAGTACCAATAGCAGTACCTCCGATGTTGAGCAAATAAAGACGTGGAAGAGCCGCTTTAATTTGGTTTATCCCTGTATTAAGCTGTTCAACATATCCGCTAAATTCTTGACCTAAGGTTAGTGGGACAGCGTCCTGTACGTGTGTACGTCCCACTTTAATTATCTTGCTAAACTCTTCAGCTTTAGCATTTAAACTGGATTTTATTTTATTAAGACTTGGAAGCAACGATTTGTTAATCTCGTGGGCGACTGCAATATTCATTGAGGACGGTATAATGTCGTTTGTGCTTTGTCCCATATTAACATGATCAAGTGGATGAACTGGTGTTTTGGTACCTACTTTTCCACCTAAAATTTCAATTGCTCGGTTACAAATGACTTCATTGGCGTTCATATTGGATGCAGTTCCAGCTCCAGACTGCCATATAGGAACTGGAAAATGATCAGCATAGAGTTCCCCTGAAATAACTTCATCACAAGCTTGGGAAATTGCCCTAGCAATAGAAGGATCAAGTCCGAATTCTGCATTTACTTCGGCACAAGCCTTTTTAACAACTGCAATGGCAATAACAAGGGCAAAAGGCTGTCTTTCAAATTCACCACCGATTGGGAAAAAAATTAAACATCGTTGAGTTTGCACCCCATAAAGCTTATCAGCTGGGACTTGAAGTTCTCCAAGGGAGTCACTTTCCACTCTATATTGCGCACTTGAATTACACATTTTGCCTTTTATTATTCCAGTTGTTTCACAAAAATACAAAATTATACAACACTCGGAGGATGTTAGTTTTAAAAATTTTCGTTCGTTGAACAAAAAATGATTTGACAATTATTTTTTCTTTTGTTTTTATTTTCTATGAAAAATAAATTAAACTGTATACATCTTAAATTACCGATTTTAACAGTTGACTATAGGTACGTTAAGCGATTTTGATATTATCCTTTATGGACATCTAACTAAATAATTATTGCTTATCGTTGGAATTGTCAATAAACTAAGTATAAAACGTTTATATCGTAGAATCACCCGCTACAGAATGCCGTATCAATCGTTAAGTTTCCTCGATGATACACTTTATTTTTTCTTGTAATCAGCTGGCCCCAACATGTTTTCAGGTTTAACCCAGCTATCGAAATCGGATTCAGTAACTCCAGAAATTTTTGCGGACTCCTTTAGCGTCATTCTGTCGTGGTGAGCTTTCAGAGCAATTTGAGCTGCTTTGTCATAACCAATATGCGGACTTAACGCGGTAACTAACATAAGACTTTGATTAAGCAAAAATGCCACACGTTCCTCATCGGCTTCCATTCCATCTATGCAATTGGTGGTAAAGCAATTGGAACCATCAGCCAGTAGTCTAATAGATCGAAGTACATTTGAAACCATCAATGGTCTAAAAACGTTTAATTCAAAATGACCATTCGATCCGCCTATTGTAACAGCAACGTTGTTACCCATTACTTGAGCTGCGATCATTGTGAGCGCTTCACATTGGGTCGGATTAATTTTGCCGGGCATTATAGAACTTCCTGGCTCGTTTTCTGGAAGTATTAGCTCTCCTATTCCACATCGGGGACCAGATGCTAGAAACCTAATGTCATTAGCTATCTTCATCAAAGAAGCGGCAACGACATTTAAGGCTCCAGAAATTTCTATCATGGAATCACTCGTAGCTAATGCTTCGAATTTATTTGGAGCTGTCACGAAAGGAAGATTAGTTAATTCTGCAATTTTTTTTGCGCATTTTTCATCAAAAGAAACGTAGGTGTTTAGGCCTGTTCCAACGGCGGTTCCACCAATCGCCAGCTCGTACAAACGAGGCAAAGTATTTTGTATTCGATTTATTCCATATTCCAGTTGCTTAACGTAAGCACTCAGTTCTTGGCCCAGGGTTAAGGGAACGGCGTCTTGAGTGTGAGTGCGCCCGACTTTTATAATTGGCATAAACTTTTGACTTTTTTCATGTAGGCTATTTTTTAACTTTTTCAAGTTCGGTAGAAGACTATTATTTAACTCAAGGGCAACTGCAATATGCATGGCTGTAGGAAATGTGTCATTACTGCTTTGACCTTTATTAACGTGATCATTGGGGTGAACAGGGTTCTTCGAGCCTAATATTCCACCCATCATTTCAATTGCACGATTGCTTATCACTTCATTGACATTCATATTGGTTTGTGTTCCGGATCCAGTTTGCCAAATACCAAGAGGGAAATGGTCATGGTAGAGGTTTCCTGAAATAACTTCGTCTGCTGCATTTGAAATAGCGGACGCAATTTTCCTATCAAGTCCGAAATCCAAGTTTACTTGTGCTGCAGCTTTTTTTAACACACCCATCGCCACAATAACGCTAAGGGGCATTCGTTCATACTGATCACCAATAGGAAAATTTTTAAGACAACGTGCTGTTTGAGCTCCATATAATTTACTGTTAGGCACTTCTATTTCTCCAAGAGCATCTTTTTCCATCCTTACGTCTGCCATTTTACTGTACAATCACTTTTACAATTTTGTATAAAAACACAACACCTTTTAATTATCAAATGTGACATTAATAAGTTAAATTAAGCTTCTTCCACTTGTTACTGGATTTTACATAACTACTTACATGTAGACATTAAGGAGAGCGCTATTCTTGTCAATTTTTGGAGGTATATTACAAATATATTACTTACACATTAATAATTACTAATTGCACTTGAAATACCTCATTTGAAATGTATAACAATAAATGCATTCGAACCATTTTCTTTTCCTTTGATGTCCATTGTGCACAAGGTATTGCAAAAAATGGAGGTTTATAGTACCATTTCAAGTAAAAAAATATGTATTTGCGATTCTGGAAAAGATATATAGTATAATACTTCATATTTTATTTTTACGAAAGAAATATGCCATAAAGTAATACGTTAGATTATACAATTATTTGGCGTTATATTTAAAATCATTCAAAATTTACGAATACCTTTATAAAAAAAATAATAGAAAACTCATGTAACTTACACTCCACTTCTTTACATTAAAAACTGTTGGATATGACCTCGTTGTTGGGTAATGAATTTAATCAGAAGTTGGTCGAGACGATCATTATTTCGCGATATTTGCCTCTTTATCGTTTGTTTTATTTCTTCTTTAACACCTTTGTCAGCTCCCCGTGTACCAATTCTTCTTTGCCTGAAATTATCTCCTGGAGAAACATAAAATATTAATAACAAAATATTTACCCTAAGTGAGGAAGAATATCAAGGGTTACACCACCACCCCGTTCTGACCACAGGTACGACAGTTCTTCTAAAATGTCTATATTAATAATATAAGTCTAAAAATATAAACAAAAATAAATATAAAATTTATATACCTAGTATATGTAATAAAAATACATCTTTTGAAATTAGAAAATTACTTACTTGAAATAACATATAAGAGAAAGAACCTCTTTGCTGAATTTGGTTCATTAAAAATGGCAAGAAATCTTCTTCCAAAGGCCAGTCCAACTGAATTAAAACTAAGAGGTTTCCAATCACAAGATCATTATAAATAAGTGTGTGCTGAAATTTTTCCTTTGAATAACAATTCTAAATTAATATTAAATCGTTACGGAAAGAAATAAAATAAAAAGCAAACATTCTAAAAAGAAAATGAAAAATAATATTCTTATTTGAAGAAAAATATCCGTCTTGACTATAACTGAATGAGTCTTTTACACATACATGTTGTTTAATTGTTTTATGTATGTCTGAACAATTGTTTCAAGAAAAAGTGTTTTAAAATACACACCTTAATACATCTAATTAGTAATTTCACACAGAACTGCAATACCCCATTTAATGTAAGTGGTAAGTAGTGCAAGTGCCTTTGATTGCCACCAATAACAAGTTGTGTACTTAGAGATCCTAAATTACCCGAATTTAGTAATTGAACTGCGGCAAGAATGTGTTCAAAACAGTTCTAAAACATGCTTAATATTACAAATAAAAAACTTGAAACATAGAGCGTCAGTACCCCATAGCTCTTTTTAAGATAAAATAAATTAGCTAATCTAATATGTCTTGATAATGTTAAATCTGGAATGCCAGAAGGAGGTTGAAGTTGTGCTACAGCCTCGTCATAACATTTTTTATATAAGGCATAATCTATTAAGTAATCTTCCAATATGGAATCTAGCTTGAGATGATTGTGCAACTTTATATACTCTAAAAAATGATAAATAAATATAATTGTATGCTTTTCAATTAAAAAAGAAAGACAACCTCGAGTAAAAATTTCAGAGGAATGAAGTAAATCCCAACAATTTGAAGCCATTAAAAAATTATTGGCAATATTTTTATTTTCATTCTTGTCAACTGTAATAATAGGCGTCGATGATTCTGAGTCGGTTCTTCTACGTTTAGATTTAGGTTCCAAAGAAGGATTAGATAAAGAAGTATCTAAAAGACAACCAAAAAAATATCAAAAATATATTTTCACGAAGTATTTTACCTGTAAATGCTTCAATAAGAACAAAAGAAGTCTGAACTTGTCCAGGCGAAGCATCAGGTGATAAACTTGATTTGTAATCATCTAAACAGTAAAGAAAAAAAATTGTTGAACAATATAAGAGTTGTTTCATGTGTACATGATCATCCACAGACAGAATTTTATGTGTCTGGCAGAAAGTTAGAATTTTTTGCCAATAATTTTCCTTAGACCTAAAATGTGCTTGCTATTAATAACAATATTTTTAAACAAATCCTAAATAATAACCAATTATTTTTAAAATTTGTTAAGTATGTTTCCCATCCTAGGTGTTTTCCGATAATTTCCAATAAATCAAATAACCTTTGCCAGGGTTTATCAATTTTTGTCTCAGTATCCTAAAACGACAACTACTTTTACCTTGTAATTTAAACTTAATACATCTTACAAAATTAAACTTGTCATGGTACACTAAATATGAAATAATAATGTTTACCTTAATATTAGTTTTGTTATAAATATAACAAAGATAATATTCTGTTCCTTTGTGCAATAATTTGAAAAGCAACTTAGATGAGAGTTCACAAGAAACATTTTCACTTGCTAATAAAGGAACTAAATCACAAATCAGCAACTTTCTATAAATGTTTACTGGCTGATTATTAGCATGGCTATGTTTCTCAGCACTAAGGAGAGTGTCTACCAATCTAGGCTGAAAGGTATGTAAAAAATTATAAGGAAACATTGATTTAATATTAGCAATCATACACCATGAGAAGGAATTGTCATCGGAAATCGTTGAAGTAATAGTAGTAGTAACTTGCAATGTTCTATAGCATCTTCACATCGATCAGCAGTTAACAGCAGCAGTTTGTGTTGAACATCTAGAAAGATATTCTCTCATTATGTCATTACAAACATTTTCAAAAAAAAAATAATGGGCAAGTACCTGTCGAAATATGTCTGAACATATCACACAAAAATTGATTGACAACATCATTGGCATCATTTTCTGAACGTAAAGCTGCTATCACAGTTTCAACTTCCTTCCAAAACTTCTCTTCTTGAAAGTTTTCCAATCTACAATTACACAATTGGGAATGTCTTAGGGTGTACTTTAAAATGAGAAAGTACTCACAAATAACTGAAACATTTTGCAGCTTCTTTAACGTTTTTGGCTTCTTTCTCCATTTTATAAGCTTCAAACTAAAACGGATCCTATCAGAAACAGAAATTCTTTTCAAATTGATACATACATGTACAGTAAAATTATTAGGGTAAAGCGTCTTTGCAGTTATCATCCAAGCCTTTGCAGCATAAGGATCGGTCTGTAATGCATTTTTGGCCCTTAACACTACATATTCTTCATCAGCTGCATTATAAATTTCAGTTTTCATTCTGAAATTTAAATATTTTAAGTTCACAATTTAAAAAATATCTTGCATAACCTATAAATCTATTGAATTATACACAAAACTTCAAAAACAGGAATGCTTTCATATACTGAAATTAGATGTCGCACTGATAACACCTTATACGAGAGTTAAAGAAGAAGTTTTGACCGCACTACATGGTATATACCAAAAGTTTTTGTAGTTGAATAAAATGTACATGGAATACTGGGTTAATACATATATTGAAATTCATTTAATAAACAGTAGAAATAAAAGAAACACTAATTAAGANATATTAATAAAATTTAAAATGCTTTATAAACCTGTCTATCTGTAGGTGTAGGGGTAGTTTTATCAATTTTAGCATATTCTTTTTCATAATCGCCCTTTACATGAAGTAGAGCCGCCCAAATATTGCCCCTTAAAAGGGGAGGGATGTCCTTTTCACTTTCTTTTATTATTAAATTTCTAGTGAACGGATAACCCTGCAAAATGTTCATTATATAAAACAAAAATTAAAAAAGAAACGAAATACTCACATGTAACAGTCTTCTCATTAAAATTGTCCTGTGAAATTGGTATTCAGGGTCCTTTTCTCTTATAACTAAAGGTAAATTGGACGCATCATACTGTGGAGGCTCAGACTTTTTAATTATATCAGAATTTATATGAATAAGAGGGTAATAACTACTAAGTGGAATGTGACTAAATCTTCTATACAGAGTGTCAAGTGGCATTAAAACAACTTTAGGATCATACAGTAAGTTAAAATTGCGCTCTAATCCCAGTATATTTCCATCCATCAATACTGCCCTAAAAGTTTTCTGGTAATTGTATTTTTCTTTATTTACTTCACCTTTTTTTTAATGTAACATTTACTTAGGAAGAGATAAAATGGGCGGTGAAGTCCGTATAAGTCCCTGTTTCTTAAGTTCCAGTAAAACATCTCCACCCGCCAATTGCCACCAGTGGTAAAATTCCATTATAGTAAAGTTTTGAAACGGTTTACATACTTTACTTTTAGTTTTCATAGGAGAAGGAGCAATATTATTAAAAATTTCACGTTTTAACAAATCTTGTACTGATGGTCTGTTACTTGGATAAACGGTGAGGCAGCTATTTATAAGATCCTTTAAATCTGCTGGCAATTCCTAAAATAAAAAGGGTTAAGTAATTATAACTTATTTCTTATTTAAAGAAGACTATCGACTAGTTTTTTGTTAAATTTTGGGCACTTATACTACACACCCAGGCCTTTTCCTTCAAAAAAATGTTGTCATAGCAGTTAAGTTATTTGTAAAACTTACCACATGATTATGTTTACACAATTCTATTTATTACATCTTATTCAAATATACTATGAATTACTTGTTATATAGACGCATCAATATACCATATAAAAAGTTAAGTTTTAGAATACATGAGAAATACTTATTATTGGTTTTATCTTACACTGTATTTTTCATAACAATTGTGTTCTCTTGTGATACGTTCAAAAACACTACCATTTGCAGTCAATAAGCTCATTATCTTCCTTATTATTTGACCTAGTTTCAGAGAGTTCCACAGTGGTTTATTGATGACTAATTCAGCCAAAATAATTCCCAAGGACCAGATGTCTCCCTTAGGATGTGAATAAGTGCTACTTGGTTTGCTAAGATACACCTCTGGAGCTGTGTATAGTACAGACCTAAAATGAAATTCCAAAAATTTTATAAATTCGAAAATGTTTCTTGCATTAAGACAAGGAATAAAATTAACAAGTACATACATTACTGGGAAGGCAACATACTGTCCATTCCCTGTCATGTAATAAAGTCCATAGTTAAAAACTTTAATATTATTGTCTTCCATTAACAGGACATTTTCTGTGCTTAAATTTCGATTAACGATGTTTCTCTTTTGTAATTCCTCAAGTCCTTTCAAAATTTGGTAGGCAATCTTTTTTATATTATCCACATTTAAATTATCAGTATTTAAACATGCAGTTAATGGTTTTCCACAGTACTGAGACACTACAACTGTTCTCTCTAACAAAAAACAATCATTTAATAAGAGGGATCACTTTAAATACTGTTACATTATACCATGTTTGCCTCTTATAATGTCAATGTACTGGCAAAGGTATGGATTTTCTATAGTTTTTAGCAGTTGAGCTCTGCCATAGACTGTTATTGAATTTGGAGTTAGAGGTAATCCGTTACTCCCACAGGTATCTCCTTTGTGTTGCTTAGCAAAAAATGTAATTGCTCCAAACTGAAATTGTGGATTGTGTAATAAGCTTTTCTGGATATCCATTTCATTTGGTAGTAACTGAAAAAATAATGAAGTATTACACTAATAACATTAACATTTTTAGTTTCCTAGAGTTGTGGTTATGTACACATTTAAATTAACAATGTTTGTTATACAGGGTGTTTTAGTACACCTAACATTAACTTGAAACTTGACATTCTATTAAATAAATAAATAAATTATTGTTAATAAAGTATTAGACAATCTTTATTTCATATAAAAAACACAGTTACAGAACAGCTACTCTTTTTTTAAATAAGAGTTTCACATTTTGTTTTACTGTATAATACAAAATGAGATTTTTTAAAATACTTGTATTTATTATATTT